CAAATGAACATCCCTCGCAGGTGCTTTGTAGACGTCGCTCGTAGCAGAGGTGGCAAACGTGGTCGCGCTCTGTACTTGAGCCCAAGTACAGATACTTGGGTCAAAAAGATGCAGGCAGGTAGCAAGAATTACTGACTTTGGCGCCTGCAGTAAAAATAATAAAAAGGTACAGACATGGTGTCCGCAACTAGAAATGTATTTTGACAGTCACCGTTGCCGGAATTCATTTCACAATTTGTTTTGGCGTACTCTCGCGGCTCACAGGGGAATTCGAGGAGGAGTCCAAGCAGCCGGCGCTGGCTGAGCAACAGAAGCACCAACTCAAACACAGAGAACTCTTCCTCTCGCGGCAGTTTGAATCGCTGCCCGCCACTCACATCAGGTAGCGCACGCTACTGCCTTTTCGGTGAATTCATGTTTCCAATGAACCGCGCTTGACCCGCCGCCGAGCAGCAGAAGTTGTACAATGGTTTCCATGTGTTCAGTCATGCTACTCGCCGTCTCTCTCTAGGGGGAAATGTAATGTCACCCTCCTCAATGAAACAGATGTCTTGGCGGGATACTTGGAGAAAGAGGTAGGAAATTGGGACTTCTTCAGCACCATTTCACACCTCAACTATCTTTTTTTTTCTTTTTCCTTTTTTTTTTTAATAAACAGAAAACCTCTGTCCTGCTATTGAAGTAACTGACCAAATTGTACCATGAGTTTAGGAGAATGGATAGCATAGCATTGTTTTCATCAGGAATGAACAATTTTGAAATAAAATCTCAAAGTGCAGTATCCCCCTCCTCAATATTACGATTTAAAATGTGATAATTTGTTTCGGAAGGTATTTTTTTAACAAACACAAGCAATATAACAATATGAGATTTACCATATGTAAATGTTTTGGTCTCACAGATTAGGCTTGCACAAAAATTTAAAGGGAACTGAACCATGAATTAATAACTCGCAGTCTTTGAAGCGTTCACAACGACAACTTGATAAAATTGACAACTTGATAAAAGTGTCGTGTAAACATAAATCAGATAATAATAATAATAATAATAATTATTTATAATAATAATTATTATAAATCAGATGACGTCGACATGTGAAAATGTGGACTGCACGTCTTCAGCAACGTCCCTTCTTCGACACCAAATGAATAAATAAATACACAAAATGTGCAAATATAAAACAAAAAGCCTGCCAATTGACCCAAATAATTTTTTTTTCCTTTCCATAATTTCAGCCTTTGTGATTTAAAAATTGCATTCTACTACATTGCGTTGTTGATTTGTTTTTGATTATTGCTTAGCTTTACTTATCACGCATCCTTGAAATATGAAATTGACCTCATCATTTAATCTTGTTGTTCCCAGGACTGTTTCTTCTATTCATTGGTGTTCGACCCGGTCCAAAAGACCCTGTTGGCTGACCAGGGAGAGATCCGGGTGGGCTCCAAGTACCAAGCAGAGGTCCCCGACAAGCTCGCAGAGGGTGAGGAGCCAAATGGCTCGAGTCTCTCCTGTCCTCAACTGACAGCGGTGCCTCTTTACGTCAGGAGAATTGGACAGCCGGATCCAGGAGAAGCTGGAGACCAAGGTGTGGGACCCCGACAACCAGCTCAAGGACCCCCAGATTGACCAATTCCTGGTGGTAGCAAGGTAACAACTCCCGCCACCCCGTCCACTAGTTGCCGTCCAAAAAAATCTCAAGGACAAGAAAAGGTCATGTCGTCATGAAATGATTTACTCCCTTGCATGAATAGTCATGGAAGCTCGGTTACTTTTATGAAGACTTGGCCTGAGAACATGCTTTTCATATCCCGGTATCGATATCGCGGTATCGATTTCCATATCGATACCAAGGTCGATATAGATATCGCCATATCGATACCGGGGCCGATATCGATATCGCGATATATAGGATTTGAAATTGGGACTTCTTCAGCACCATTTCACACCTCAACTATCTTTTTTTTTCTTTTTCCTTTTTTTTTTTAATAAACAGAAAACCTCTGTCCTGCTATTGAAGTAACTGACCAAATTGTACCATGAGTTTAGGAGAATGGATAGCATAGCATTGTTTTCATCAGGAATGAACAATTTTGAAATAAAATCTCAAAGTGCAGTATCCCCCTCCTCAATATTACGATTTAAAATGTGATAATTTGTTTCGGAAGGTATTTTTTTAACAAACACAAGCAATATAACAATATGAGATTTACCATATGTAAATGTTTTGGTCTCACAGATTAGGCTTGCACAAAAATTTAAAGGGAACTGAACCATGAATTAATAACTCGCAGTCTTTGAAGCGTTCACAACGACAACTTGATAAAATTGACAACTTGATAAAAGTGTCGTGTAAACATAAATCAGATAATAATAATAATAATTATTTATAATAATAATTATTATAAATCAGATGACGTCGACATGTGAAAATGTGGACTGCACGTCTTCAGCAACGTCCCTTCTTCGACACCAAATGAATAAATAAATACACAAAATGTGCAAATATAAAACAAAAAGCCTGCCAATTGACCCAAATAATTTTTTTTTCCTTTCCATAATTTCAGCCTTTGTGATTTAAAAATTGCATTCTACTACATTGCGTTGTTGATTTGTTTTTGATTATTGCTTAGCTTTACTTATCACGCATCCTTGAAATATGAAATTGACCTCATCATTTAATCTTGTTGTTCCCAGGACTGTTTCTTCTATTCATTGGTGTTCGACCCGGTCCAAAAGACCCTGTTGGCTGACCAGGGAGAGATCCGGGTGGGCTCCAAGTACCAAGCAGAGGTCCCCGACAAGCTCGCAGAGGGTGAGGAGCCAAATGGCTCGAGTCTCTCCTGTCCTCAACTGACAGCGGTGCCTCTTTACGTCAGGAGAATTGGACAGCCGGATCCAGGAGAAGCTGGAGACCAAGGTGTGGGACCCCGACAACCAGCTCAAGGACCCCCAGATTGACCAATTCCTGGTGGTAGCAAGGTAACAACTCCCGCCACCCCGTCCACTAGTTGCCGTCCAAAAAAATCTCAAGGACAAGAAAAGGTCATGTCGTCATGAAATGATTTACTCCCTTGCATGAATAGTCATGGAAGCTCGGTTACTTTTATGAAGACTTGGCCTGAGAACATGCTTTTCACAGAGCTGTCGGGACGTTCGCTCGGGCCCTGGACTGCAGCAGCTCCATCCGCCAACCCAGCCTGCACATGAGCGCGGCGGCGGCCTCGCGAGACATCACGCTGGTCAGACGTGCGCGCACGTTCCTAAAATAACCCAACCGGACACTTCTCCTCACTCTTGTGTATCGTCTGTTTGCAGTTCCATGCCATGGACACGCTGCAAAAGAACAATTACGACCTGGCCAAGGCCATGTCCACCCTGGTGCCCCAGGGCGGTCCCGTGCTCTGTCGCGATGAGATGGAGGAGTGGAGCGCCTCCGAGGCCATGTTGTTTGAGGAAGCGCTGGAGAAATACGGCAAAGACTTCAATGACATCCGTCAGGACTTTGTAAGCGGAGGGATGAGGGATGGGGAACTGAACCCAAACTAGAGCAGAACGATTTTGAAAAAAAATGGAATTGTGAATTGTTTTTCAATATTTTGATTTTTTTTATGCCATGATTATTTAATTTGGGGATTTTTATTTCTTGATATTTTTTGCCCAGTTATTTATTTTATTTCTCTTGCCATGTGCAAGCTTCCTTGGAAGTCTTTAGCCAGCGTGGTCCAGTTCTACTACATGTGGAAGACTACGGACCGCTACATCCAGCAGGTCAGCACGCTGACACAATGTTGCGCTCACATTGTGGCCACAAGTTTTGATTTCTGTATTTATTTTGTCCTGCATGTCACGTCTGGGGCTGATTCCTCTCCTCTCAGAAACGACTCAAGGCAGCAGAGGCGGACAGCAAACTGAAGCAGGTCTACATCCCCACCTAGTGAGTATTACAAGACCTTACACCTTCACTGGAGACCTCCTCTATGTGCTGTAACTTGAGTGGCGCCCTCTTCCGCCCAGCACCAAACCCAACCCCAATCAGATCATGGTTCCTGGCAGCAAGCCCGGCATGAACGGGGCGGCGGGCTACCAGAAAGGACTCAACTGCGAGAGTTGTCACAGTAAGTAGCTATGTAAGCCCACAGCTTTAACCCCTGCTTCTTTCATATGTATATTTTTTCCACTTTCACTTGCTAATTGACATACGGGTTTTACCAGTTTGAACATTTACGTTCTTTAGTTGTACCTTAGAATGTTTAATTCTTTGTTTAGGTATCGGTTTTACAGTAAACTTCAAGTGGGAGTTTTAGTGTATTGTGGATGGGACTTTAGTTTTCCATAGCAGTTTCGGGTGGTGTCCATCCGCATTAGTATGGGATCACAGGCTGAATCAAGTATTCGACAGGCTATTACAGTGCCATTTTGTCATTTTGTTCATTTTCACATCAAATACTGCACGTGTACCCAAGTGAGGATGAAGTGGTTCGGAAAATGAATGAATACTGCACGTGTTGTACAGGGCTGACTAATGACACATCCTTATCTCCCGTACTGCACAGAAGTACCAGTATAGTTTGATTTATTTATTTGTCTTAAGTGGTCGGGTATGCTTGAAACCTCTCATGATGTACAACTAATGGAGTTAAGAAGTTGCCTGTTTTTGAAAGAAAAAAAAATGTACTGTTGAAATTTTTGTGGGGGGGGGGGTGAAACAAGTTGTTGTATGCGGCCCGTTGGTCGAGTGGTTAGCGCGTTGACCTCACAGTGCAGAGGTACCGGGTTCGATTCCAGCTCCGGCCTCCCTGTGTGGAGTTTGTTCTCCCCGTGTCTGCGTGTGTTTCTCCGGGTACTCCGGCTTCCTCCCACATACCAAAAACATGCATTGCAGGCTGATTGAACCTTCAAAATTGTCCCTAGGTGTGAGAGTGAGCGCAGATGGTTGTGCGTCTCTGTGTGCCCTGCGATTGGCTGGCCACCTTTATGAGGATAAAGCAGATCAGAAAGTGGATGGATGGATGGAAATCAGTTGTAATATGAGAATAGCTTTCTTTTCTAAGAAAAGATAGAATAAGACAAAGTTCATTGGGGAGCGAGAGTCGTATTTTAACAAGTAAATATGAAAAGGACAACTTGAATCATGCACATGAAACTAAGTAAATATAAAGTTCTGTGGCCAATTTTCCATTTCATTTTTGAGTCAAAAATTTAATGTGAAAAACGAGACATTTTTTTGGGTGCTAGATTAAAAACCAGCCACACAAAATAATCAGCCTTTTTCTCTCCCCATTGAATATTTTTTGCAAATTCCTAACGAAAAGAACAAATGTCACATGGCCAGGGTGGCCTTGACGTCTTTGTTTTTGAGTTTGACTTATCGACTGTGTGGTCTCAACCCAGCGGCCCAGTCGCCTCAGTGGTACGCCTGGGGGCCCCCCAACATGCAATGCCGACTGTGCGCCTCCTGCTGGATCTACTGGAAAAAATACGGCGGCTTGAAGACCCCGACGCAGCTGGAGGGCGCTGCGAGAACCGGCTCTGTACGTCTCCTTCCTCGCGGTTCCTTCCGCAGTCAGTCCGCCAATCACCGATTTCATTGTCCTCTTTGATTTCAGGAATCGGGCCCGCGCAGTCATATGACCCGCCAGGAGGTCCAGGGCCTGTCGCCGTTCACCCGCAATGAGGGCCGCGCCAAGTTGCTCGCCAAGAACCGCCAGACCTTCATCCTGCAGACCACCAAGCTGACCCGCGTGGCCCGGCGGGTGTGCCAGGACATCCTGCAGCCTCGGCGGGCGGCGCGCCGGCCCTATGCCTCCATCAACGCCAACGCCGTCAAAGCCGAGTGTATGTACACTCCCCCGGCCTCTCGGTCAAGCTTGGGGTGTCTGGCCCACATTTGACTCCCCTCTTTTCAGGTATGATCCGGTTGCCCAGAGCGACAAAAACTCCTCTGAAGAGCAAGCTGGTCCCCCGACCGTCACTGGCCAACATCGTGAAGGACTTGGGTAAGAGGTCAAAATATACTGATACGCAGGCTAGAAACTTGGGGAGGATGAAGTGGTACAGGTCCTCATTTTTGACTTGCGCTCGTATTTTAAAATTCAAGTAAAAACTGCTTTTTTCACATTTCTTTCAATGTATTTATTTCATTGGGAATTAAGCTCTCTTTTACACACTTTTAAAGTCACTTTCACTCTACAGTCTTTTGAAAATCTCATCAAGCTGCTTTTTATTTCTTTCCTTTGCATTTAAATGTCTAAGTCGTTTGTTGGTAAATGCTTGTAGGTTTTGTCCTTTTGTGTGAAGCACATTGAGTATCCTTGTGTGCTGTATGAAATGTGCTGAGGTAAAGTTGTTTTCACTTGTCTGATTGAGCTGGTTGTAAAATAAAATCTCCTGTTTTTTTTTTTTTTTACCCCCCCCCCCCGTCCTCCATGTTCTCGGCAGCCATCTCTGCTCCTCTCAAGCTGAAGGCATCCAGGGGACCCCCAACGCCCATCAACAGGAACCAGGCCATCCAGCCTCGGGTGGGCCAAGGCCTCCTGGGAAAGAGGGGCTTTGACAGCGTGAGTGTCCTGGCACGGTCACTTTCCGACGCTGGCCAAATTCCACTAAAATGCTGCTTTGCTTTGGACAGGCCACAGGAATGCCCTACTCCGCCAACGGGAGGTCGTACACTTCGGGCATGAGGACCACCTCCCAGTCTGTCATCAAGCGTCAGAAGGTCAGCCAAGGAGAAGCCCCCAACCCTGTTGTGTTCGTAGCCACAAAAGACACCAGGTATTATGGATTCGCAACGTATTCACAGCGCTTCACTTTTTCCGCATTTCCCACGTATCGGCCTTATGTGCCGTGAATGCTCAACAAATGTTTTTTTTTTCCCCCCCATGCAGGGCTCTAAGGAAACATCTGACTCAATCAATGTGCCGTGAATGCTCGACAAATGTTTTTTTTTTTCCCATGCAGGGCTCTAAGGAAACATCTGACTCAATCCGAGATGCGCCGGGCAGCTCGGAAACCTCACCTTCCAGTCCGGATCAAGCTGCCGCCACCCCCTCGACCTCTGGCCATGCCCCTGCTCCCTTCCAGCACCAGCGAGCCAATCGTCCTTGAGGACTGAATGGTGGTGGTGAAAGGGGAGGAGGGTCTTTTAACAGGATAGGGGTTGGTGACCATACCGTTTTGTCTTTTATTTCCCCATTTCTCTTTAGTTCGAGCAGTTCCCTCACCAAGAATTTTTTTTCCAACATTCATACAACAGCTCAGGCTTTGTAGGATTTTATTCCAGGTCCTGAATTGTTTTTTACCGCTGCCAGTTTTTAAATGTGTAATTTAAGTCTGAGATATTTTCTGTCCTCCCCCCTAAAACATTTTAGGACACTAAAGCACAACGCATGTAAATGTGTGCGTCGTCGCTGGATGTGCCCAAAATGAAGGGGTGAAGCTTTAAAGTTTTACTCAAGTCCTTGAACATTTTTTATTAGCATCACAAATGCAGGTGAGCACAAAGCAACTTGCATGCTATGAAAAATGATTCCCCAAATCTTCTAGAGGTGTGCAAATGTTTCACCCGAAAGCCAAATATCCCAAGAAATCCTTACTGTAGAATTACACAGGCTTGTTTTGTGCTTGCTTGTACAGTAGAGCTGCCACTATCTTGTTCAGCACCCTCAGCCCTCCTTCACATCGCTATTTTAACCCCCCCCCTCCCCCAAATGCCTTTTTAACAAAAACAATTGGATAATCAGAATTCCCAAGTTCCACAGCTCTTCGGGTTTGTAAGGAAATTTGTTTTCCACGCGGCTTTCGTTCCATTGCAGGCTTTATCTTTCTTAAAAAAAAAAACATCGAAAATATAACAAAAAACAAAAGAAGAAGAAATAGGAGTGTTTGTAGCAAATACTAGTCTGTGTGACGACGGAAAGTGGATTACTGCATTAATGAAAATGGTTTATTTTTTTTCCACAAACTGAAGCGCATCTCTGAGCTCTGTTATTATAGCAAATGGGGGTGGGATGCGATATGGCTCTCCTGAATTGGGTGGGGGGGTAAACATTCAAAAAATTGGGGGGGCCGGCAACTGACTTTTTGTATGGGGAGCAAGAGAAATATGCGACAGGTTTTTTTTTTCCTAATTTTTTTTTTGTTTTTACTCCAGCATCTCTGTATCCTGTCATGTCTCTTGATAAGAAAAGAAATAAAGTTTTTTTTCTTTGTGGTCAAGCAGTTTCTGGTCTGTTCTTGATTTGCCTTGACACAGTGAAGACCCTAAAAATTGTAGTGGTTGTCCTTATTTTTTCCTTCCTTTATTATTATTTTTTATTCATCCTTGTTTAACACTATTTCTTTCATCCTAGCTTTCTTTTCCTCCATCCATCTTATTTCCTTCCTTGTTTCCTTTCGAACAAAACTTGTACCCTTTCTTTCATCCCCCGCTTGAATTAGTTAATACTGTACTGTACTACCAACTGTTGGCTAGGCTTTGGCATTCTGGAACGCTCACGTGACATTCACGCGGGACTTTTGAGTTCGTGGCCAATTCCAAAATAATCACAGTATATTAAAACGAGCAGTACCCGATTAAACGAAAAATAAGTAATTTATGTCGTTTGCGGGAGTCACTGGTGAAAAAAAATTTTTTAATCGGATCATGAATCGCCGTTTCATGCAGCGCGTGACAAAAACAGCGCACTTGGTTGGTCCACCACCCCCACGTGACCTTTAGCACACCAGATCCTAATTTGTACTACGGCGGGAGCCTCCGCTTTAGTTTTCAAAAACAAGTGGAGTTCACCTTTCTTCTGCTTGTGACTCTATAACAGAGTAGAGTGGAAGTTTTCGCGTCCATGTCAGTCCCCACCATGTAAATAATCCTATTTTGTCGTTCTTTTGTTTTTAAAAAGGTTCTTCGAGCGCCTCCTGCTAAATTTCGAGGTCTCACCAATCAACAGCAAGGAGCCGCGGCAATGATTGAGGTAAATCACCCCCCGACACACACTTTAACTTAATATCTATGACAAAGCAGTATTTTAGTAAATCGCAAATTTAGATATTACTTAAATGCTAAAGAAATTATCTTCTTGAACCAATGAAGGGTTAATGGGGTCTGCCAAAAATTGCAATCGGCCCTAATCGGAGTTTAACACTTGCCTGTCACAAGATCGTTGTTTGTAATATTTAATAAGACTTTTAAAAAGAAACAAGTTTAATATCATAGTTTCAAAGACTTAAAATTGTTTTGCATTATTTTATGCTTAAATGTTTGACTGGTGTGTGCATCTTGGCCACCAGAGTGCAATATAATACAGTCCTGCAAGTAAAACAGAAGGACACAGTAAGCTGCAGTAATGGTTGTCTTTTTTTTTTTTTTTTCAGAGGATAAGTAATACATGCTTGAGTATTATTGTCTGTCTCCATGTGTTGCTAACGTTTGTGTTCAAATAAAAGTTTTTCAAAGGTTTATATCTGCGATACATATCAATGCTAGTTTCGTTTGGCCATTTTTTGCAATTCGTTCGCATTAAGCTAGTTTTCTGTCGCAGGCGAGCAGTGACTTGCTCCTTCCTGTTTACCACGACGAGGAGCTGGTAGCCAACCTGCTCTCCAGCGAAGAGACGACCGGTGATGATGGCGCCCTTTCCCTGGTCAAGGCCCTAATCCCGGTATTGGACCCCCCCTTGCCACAACTCCCGTGGGTGTGCTCCACCCGCTACAAGACAGAGCTGTGCGTCCGCTATGCCTCCACGGGCTCCTGCCAGTACGCAGAGCGCTGCAGTTTTGCCCACGGCCTGCGTGACCTCCACGTACCTTTCCGCCACCCCAAGTACAAGACGGAGCTGTGCCGCAGATACCACATGGTGGGCCACTGCTACTACGGCAGCCGTTGCCTCTTCGTCCACGGCGCCGCCGAGCAGCGGCCCGTGCCGCAACGCCCCCGCCGCGGCGTGCCCTGCCGGACCTACAGCAACTTTGGCATTTGCCCCTACGGCACGCGCTGCAACTTCCTGCACGCAGAAGATGCGAGGAGCAACAAAATCACCACTAACCTCCCGAGGGCGCGGAAGCCCCGGGAAGCCTTCTGCCATACTTTCAGCACTTTCGGCTTCTGTGTGTATGGCACGCGATGCCGCTTCCGACACGTCGTCCCCTGCACAGTGAAAAGCTCCGAGCCCGGTCCGGGCAGTGCGGGCCCGGCCTCACCTGCTTTGGAGTCCCCGTCGCCATGCGCCTCCTCGCAGACTCAGAACGCCTTCACTTTCTCCAGCCAGCAACTCGGCGACCTGCTGCTACCTCTGGCCTTGCATCTGCGGCAGATGGAGAGCAACAAGGCCCGTGATATGTTTGAACAATATCAGTCTTGAACTCAGTATTGAAGGTTTTCTTTTTTTCTTTTTTTAGCTGTGTAATTTTGTAACTTTTTTGAACACATTGCTTTATTTTTATTATTTTTTTAAATTTTTATAAGTAAGCTCGGTCATGTGTTTTTCAACCAAAAGTAGTTGGGCTATCCGACTGAAATGCAAGTGTAATATAAGTTTTAACAGTTGTACATACTGGCAGGAATGACTAACATGGTGTGAATAAAATGATTTTAATACTACTTTTTTCGTCAAATGGGCCCTTCAGTGATGGTTTTAGTCAGATGCTTTTAGGTGTATGGCTTTTTTTATTTTTATTTTTTTAACACAGCTGTACAAGAGTCCATGGATTTTTTTTCTTTCCCAGGGCAAAGGGGGGTGCTTGACTGATGTATATAGGGACTTTAAAATATTTTCTAAATATATAGCGTATCAAATAAAATCGTGGGTCTTAACTTACACAGATTTGTGACCGGAATGTAGCCCCGCTTAGCTCCGATGTAGCGCTATTCCTGTAGCTGTAGAATTCAGATATAATTTGCCAGAATTTGAAACTACTTTAAAAAACTGAATCCAAACGCTTCTAAGGATGCCTTAATGAATGAATGCCCCTTTGTTTCATGAACGTTAGTTTGTGTGAACTACCAGGGGCTGCCGTTTCGTTTGACGTAACCGCATGTCGTGCATTTTACTTTGACATTCACACAAAACTCCCTTTCATTCAAATTTTGTTTGCAGGGGTGGAGTTTTATTTCGGGTTTTTTTAATCAGAAAAAAACACGGGTAGAAAAACTCGAAGAACGCGAGACGTATGTCCCCAAATGTAGTCTAATTGTTTTATATCGAAGCCGGATTTTATCTACTTCCTTCCTGTTCAAATGCGAACTTGACATGATATGTCGGGGGCTATTTCGGTCTCGCAACGTCCAAGAAAACCTTTCACGTGAAATATTGATTTACCTCAGTATTATAAAGTAAGTAGAAATTTGGAGTTGGGAATAGTTTGCATTTTCGATTTTTTTTTAAATCAAGCGGTTATCGTCTTTTGTTGTCGGTTGGTTTTAAGATAGCTTTCAGGTATTAGCATAATACCGTCCACCAAACCCTGTTGGCAAAATGCTACAATTCAGTAAAAAAGGATCATAACGTAGCCACGCCGTGGAGAAACTGCACGCCTTTGAGTTTTAGTCATATGCGATGTGTTTTGAGGTTAATTCGGGGTAGGCTTCGTCACGTTTCCCCCTTTCACAGGTAAACTGTTGGCTTTTAAAATGTATAACTTGACATGTGTTCATCTCGGGAAGCGGGAGCAAAGCATGATTTGTTTTTAAAATCACCCTTTTAAACTCATTGGAATATACAGCCATTCATTCATTTGGCCTGGCATAAGTTAAAGAGCACTCAGGTCATGTACATTAACCTAAAAAAAAAAAAATCACATTTTTGTTCAGGAAGTTTAAGTGATTAGTCTGGCTGAGAAACTCAAATCTTCGTATGCTCGGGGAAGATGTAAATTTAGCCAGGGTTGTTAGTAAAAATTAAGGAGAGCACTTTCAGATCATCTGTAGGCCTTTTAATTTTAAGGATATTTCAAGTATAATGTTACCCACTGAAATCAATAGAAACGCCACTCATTCATTCCAGCCCTCTGGAAAATACAGTATATATTTTTGTCTTATGTACAGAATTACATAAAACATTAATTTGGATGTAAATAAACTGTTTTTCCTTGCTAGTTTTTAACACCCCCGCCCTTAATCAACACACTTAACTCACTCAGCTGCTTCATGTCAAGAGGTGAAGCAGATGGCGGAGCGAGAGGAGCGACGCTTCGCCGAAGTGTCACGGGAGTCCATCAAGCTCATGGCGGAGAGCGCCGGCGTGGAGCTCAGTGACGACGTGGCTGCTCTCCTGGCTGAGGACGTCTGCTACCGACTGAGGGAAGCTACGCAGGTGAGAGTATTTGCATTCCAGGTACACTTTCCAGACCTAAAGCTCTGGTGGTGGTGGTGATGATGATGATAAGCGATGTTAAAACATAATAAATACTGGATACACAATTAATGATGTTTTTTTTTTGTTGTTGTTTTTTGTTTTTTTAAACCCACAACCCAACAGGGCAGCTCTCATTTCATGAGACATGCCAAGAGAAGGAAGCTGACAGTGGAAGACTTCAACAGAGCTCTGCGCTGGAGCAATGTGGAGGTATATACATTCATGTGTTGTGTACATACAGTATATGTGTGCATCACTCCCATTAACCCTCAAATGAATCTTCACAAGGCCATCTGTGGTTACGGGTCCCAAGATGCGCTCCCTTTCCGCTCGGTGAAAGAAGGGGAGCTTTTCTTCACAGAGGAGCGCGAGGTCAACCTGGTCGAGTTGGCCTTGGCCACCAACATTCCCAAGGGCTGCGCCGAGACCATGGTTCGAGGTACATTGTTCCCTTTTGATTGATTGATTGATTTTGGAAAGCTTCTTTCAAGTCTCTTAATTGTTGTTGTTTTGCCAGTGAGCGTTTCCTACCTGGACGGGAAAGGGAATGTGGAACCCCAAGGAACGGGTAAGACTCCTTGACGATTGAAACGGTGGCCCCTCACTGTGACTAACCACCGTCTTTTCAAAGTTCCCTCAGCAGTCCAGTCACTGTCGGAGGACCTGTTGAAGTATTACCAGCAGATCACACGGGCCATCCTGGGAGACGACCCTCACCTTATGAAGGTGCACATCGCGCCTTGCTCGCACTTGGTTGCAAACAGCTCCAGTTAACCTCTGACCTTCTTCCAGGTGGCTCTGCTGGACCTGCAGTCCAACTCTAAAATTGCTGCCTTGCTTCCATATTTTGTTTATGTCATCAGTGGGGTA